GGGTCTTGATGTGAAGCAGGGGCCCCGGATGCGAAGGGGGCTGTGAAGGAGGTCTACTGATGTAAAAGAATGCTCCTGATGTGAAGGTGGAGGATGCTGATGTATAACTGGAGGATGCTGATGTGAAAAGGTGGACTCTGATGTGAAGGGGGAACCTCACATTTTTTCATTTTTAAGCATAGAGTCACCTCTTAAAAACTATCCAAATCTATCTAGGATAAGGTCTAGTATGGATTTTGGGACCTTTTTTTTTAAATTGACATATTTTACATTTTAGATTGGGGTCTCAAGATTTTTTCATACTTTTAAAAAGGAACTCCCAGATTTTAAAAAAAACTAACCCTTGCAGTGGGACTACCCCAGCACTGCAATGGTTAACTGCTCGTTCTGGTCTAGGGGTGCAAGTAAAGGCCGGTCTCCCAGCCTCTTCTTCCCTGGGCTCCAGCAGTCTAAGGACCACTGATGTCCATCGACTTGCATTACACATGAGGACCCTGCGGGACATTCCATAGCCGGGGCAGAGAGGGAGAGAGGTGAGTGCTGACTGCCTTAGGACCGAGGATCAGGCGAGTCCCTAGAGCAAAACAGGCAGTTAACCCTTGCAGCTCTAAGGTAGCCCCACTGCAAGGGTTTGTTTTACAAAAACCTGGAGTTCTTTTTTAAAGGGTTTTGTGACTTGAGATTCCATACCCCTTGAGAAAGGTTAAGTTGAGAAAAGTTGGGTTCCTATATTTTTTTTTTACCAGCACATTGCAAGCTCAGTCTACACACCATAAACTATAGCGCCCAATCCTACATCAGCTCATATTAACAATTGGTCATTTCAGGCTACTGCACCACATTTTGTCTTTGCATTTGTAAGGCCTAATGCCCAGTATTGTAGTATTTGCAGACCTGTTGGTGACATCTACTAACGCTTTTGTTCTTTGCAGCTCACCCCATACCTGGGATTCCTTCTTCAAGGGGAAGTCATGGCTACTCTTGTACGGGGGACTCTGGTTTATTACAAGGGGAAGCATGCTGCCAAGCCCACTGGAGAACTTGTTAATATACACAGCGCGGAGCCTGCTAAACCCGGCGCACCCTATTATTAGAGAAGACCTACCAAAAATCTGACCCTTTCGTTTATATTATTAGGAAGTACCTACAAAATATCTAAACCCCTCTATTATATTATTGGAATCCTTACAAAACAGGGAAGCAGAGGGGCCCCAAGCATTTTCGCTGCCCTCTGGGTTACTGGTGGTGCAGGCTACAGCACGTGAGGGGTGTGGGGGGGGGGGGGTTTGGCCTGCATCTTGCCCAGTGATGTTACAGGTTGCCAGGAGCTGGGCCGGTTGCCGGCCAGAGCGTCCCAGGTTGCTAAGAGCTGGCAGGGACTTGTGTATGGCCCTTACATATCTTCCCGCTTGGCTCTTAGCAACCTAAGACACTTTGGCCGGAGAGGGGGAGACAGACACACTGTAAACAGAGGGCCATGAGGTGCTGTCTGAGGAAGAGGCATCAGGCTACCTCATTATAGAGAGAGCCCTGCAGGCCAGTACTTCAAACTTTGTAGCTTACAATATATCTAATGGAGTGGAGAAAGGTTAGAACTCGTTATTTCTTTATTACTTCCTGACTCCCTGCAATGGAGGGTGACCCTCTTTATTTGTCCTGATGACCACTGTGACCCTGACAAAAAGTGATAGAAAATCCAGATCAATGTGACAACTAAGATGGGATTTACCCTCGTTCTGGTGGTGGCTTTTATGTAAATTTCTATTGTCTCCATTACAGGGAAATGTTTCCAATGGGACACAAAAACCTGGCACAGGTTCTGACCATTCCCTACTCTGTTCAAGATATAAAACATGGCATTAGATATACTTTAATTTGTAAACTGATTAGCATAATAAAATGTAATTACTGAGATTACACGCATTGCTTAGCTCTTCTTGATCCAATTATTGGATGTTTGGAGTCATTTCACTGCTTGCAACGTTTAGGTTCTGTATGCTGCACTAAATGACAGTAGTTAGAAGAATTTTATGACAGTAATAACATTTCTAACCCTATAACTTGCATTTTTATTGTCTGTTCTAATAAAATAAAATATGTGTGTAAATTCCCTTTTTATATATATCAGGTTATCATTTCTAGTAAAGCCAAAATTGGTATGCCCTCATTCACACGAGAAAAAGCCGGCACGTACAGCTTCGTGCTGCGTGCACGGCCGTATCGGGCAGCTCCCGGGAAAGACAGGTGCTGCATGTGATTAGTACGCAGCCCCTGTCCTTCTCTATGGGACTACGCGGATCTCCCGGACAGTGTGCGGATCTCCCGGCTCGGACGCAGACAGGATCCATCCTGTCAGCGTACGAGTACGGACACCCGCACAGACGTGCAGAGCAGGTGAGCGTAGGGTGGCGTATGGCCGCGTATTCCCATAGAGAAGGACTGGGGCTGCGTACTAATCACACGCAGCACCTGTCCTTCCCAGGAGCTGAGCGATACGGCTGTGCACTTTGGTTGCCACCTGTCCAGGATTCACCCGGACAGTCAGGGTTTTGAATGCTGTGTCCGGGTTTCATGGCAGCAGAAACCTGAACAGAGGATGTCAGACAGACAGACGCAACCGAAATTAAGATAGAGGCTACTACCCTGCCCCCCCCACACTGAAAATAGTCTCAACTGTGACATTTACATATGAATGGGTGGCACTATTTACATATGAATAAGCCACGACTCATTCTCCCAAAAAAATGTCCTTGTGTCGCTAGAGGGTTTCGTTTGAAGAAAAGGTGGCAACCCTACTGTGCACGCAGCACGGAGCTGTACGTGCTGGCCTTTTCTAGTGTGAATGAGGGCTATGAGTGGGAGAAGGTTACAATGTCAGGTTTTTTCTGCTATCTGGGGCTCAATAAGAGGGATCTTCCGTCACTTCCTGTCCTGCTGACAACATTTTTCCAGACAGGAAGTGAGAGGAATTTTACAGTAACACAAACAGAATGAAAGCCTAGAACCCGAGACAGCTTTTATTTTTATCAGTGTCACTGTTGCAGATTTTTCCTCACTTCTTGTCTGCTGAAACTGTTCCCATGTCTGTGAATGTTTTCATTTATCCAGGTCACGGTATATCTGTAAAAAGAATTAATTAAGGCAACTGGACTTGCTGTATTTTTCTTGAAGACATTTCGCTGGTCATCCGACTAACTTTCTAAAAGAAAGCTATCCAACCAGTGAAACGTCTTCAAGAAAAATACGCAAGTCCAGTTGCCTTGATTTTTTTTTTACAGATGTTCCAAGCACAGGAAGTGAGGGCAAATCTCTCTAATGGAGCTCTGGAAAACAGGAAAAACCAGACAGGTATTCCAAACCTACTTCCCTCTATTGAAAAAAAGCTAAGTTAAGTTGAGCTGTGGACGACGTGGTACAATAGACTTTCTCAGATATATTATTCTGATAACATATATGAAGGAGATAAGACGCAGAAACAGACAGTCATTGCTCTTTGTAGCCTGCTGAGAGGAAAGTGAAAGCGGTACCTCATGTTGAGTCTCTGTTCCATCGCTCGCATGTGCACCTGGAGCAGCAGCCATGACAGGACACGGGGAATCTATCAACGTGGAACACAAAGCTTGCAGACACAGTAGAAATGGAAAAGATAATACTTCCAGTGTACATACAAAGAGAGCACCAAACAAAAGCACAGACATGACACTGAGCAAGAAAAGCATGCATGCAGATTAGAGAGAGAATACTACTGCAAATACGGAAATGTCAATCTAGCCAAAAAACAAGTGACAGCCATTTCTATAGATCTTTATATCATATTTACAAAGATTAAATAATGATTCACACACAGTCATTATACAGCAAGCTTTCCGGCATCCCTGTCCTTCTTAAGCGAAACCAGGCGTGGGCAACTCCGACCTCCAGCTGTGCTTTAACTACAAATCTCAGCATGCACCTGGGAGTCTTGCTTGTAGCTGGCAGAGTCTTGCAGTGCCTCATGGGACTTGCAGTTCCACAACAGCTGGAGCTGCCCACCCCTAAGCTAAACAATCAGAACATATGTAACAGAGATGCATTATAACAAGAAGACTGGAGGCATTACGTTGTATCAAGCAAGGTTAACCCTTCAGTTATAATGCCAAGTATATGGGGCTCATGTATGAACCTTCCGCTCAGCATAAAGCTGGAAGAATGCTGTTCGCATAGCATTACCATCATTAAATGGCCCCGAGAAGTGTAGGATTTCCTAGGCTCCTCAGTCCCATCTAGTGGCGGTAATACTAACAAAATGCGCAGTAAGAAATGCACATTCAGGTTTCAGCAATATGGGGCTGATTTACTAAAGGCAATAGGGAGTTTGCACTTTGCAGGGGAGGACGCCCCTTAGTTTAGTGAATGGGGTGAAGTTCTTTTGGCTTCCATTATGTGCAAGCAAAGGTACAGATTTTTTTTTATTTTTATTTTTTCTATGCATGATTGGGTTTTCTGTGCAATGTGAATTTTCACCACATTCATCAAGCTAAGGGAAAATTCCCTTGCAAAGTGATCAGCCTATTTGCCTTTAGTAAATCAAACCCTATAAATCACACAGGACAGAAAATTGGTGAGCAGAAATTCAAGATGAGCAACATGTACTTGAGAAGAAAGTAAAGGAAGAGAGTATACTCACTGAAAGATGAACTCTTTGGTTTTTTTGATCAAATTAACCCTTGCAGTAGGGCTACCCCCGCACTGCAAGGGCTAAGTGCTCATTTTAATGGACCTGCATTAGAGGTGATAAAGTCACAGGTCTTTAGGCCACCAGAGCCTGGAGGAAGAAGAAGCTGCAATGACTGGTCTAGCAGACAGGTGGGACTGATCCTCGGTCCTGCAGCAGTCAGCACTCACCTCTCTTCCCCTCTGTTCCGGCGGTGGAATATCCTTCGGCATCCTCTTGTCTAATGGACCTGCATTTGACATGTTGATGTTATGGTTCCTTAGACCACCGAAGCCCAGGGGAGAAGAGGCTGCAGGGACTAGGCTAGCAGCCAGGCGGGATTAAGGATCACGTGAGTGTATTTTCTTCATGTCCCTAGGCCCTGATCTATGGCCCTGCAGCGGTGACCGCTCAGCTCAAGCCCCATCCGCTCCAGCTGTGTTATGTTTCTCTGAGTCCTCGCATCCAATGCAGGTCAATGGACTTGTATTACACATGAGCCTCTATGCAGGGCTTAGACTGCCAGAGCCCGGGGTAGAAGAGGCTGTGGGTAATGGTCTAATTGCCAGGCAGGATTGATGACCGGGTAAGTATATATATTTTTTTATTTTAGACCCTAGCCCTACTGCAAGGGTTAACTTGAAAATTGCCCAGAGTTCTTCCTTAAAATTAAATACCGTTTGTTCAAAAATTGTTTTGTGGCAGATCCTCAAGTTTTTTTTTCACTCTTTCAGATACAGATACAGGCATGACTCTAAACCTGAATACTAGTTGAGTTAAAAAGTAACTTGCATCAGAATTTCTTGCTGTTCCAGACCAAATAACAAGGGGAGTGATGGAGGTGTGAAGGGGGCGAAGCAGATCATAGTGCAGGATATGTCCTGATTTCTCTGAGAACAACAAGTAAAGTAGAATATAGGTTATGTGATAATAGTGCTGACAGCTATCAAAGCCATAGACCCCTTATCAAGACACTGCTTGGAAGAGGTATTCACAAGAACGTTAACAAAATCTTATTTATATAACTCTACTGTCTCTGATGTAGGGGAATAGTAAATCTACGTCATACACACTACAATCTGATTGCACATCACCTTTAGATTTACCAACAATTATGCACTGAGATAGATATAAAGTGAAAAATCTAATTCTGCCCAGACAGGCATCCCAATAGTAAGTTTGTTGGAGCTAAATTAAGGAAAACAGGCAGATGACTCTCTGAGAACAATGAGAAATATACCAGTGAAGACACATCAATATCGCTCATACTTCCATCGTTTTCCCCAAAAAAGAAGAGGAACGTATCAGCTGTTAGGGAAAATTATTGTTTTCAGCATTGAAATAGTTTGTATATGCCACCACAGTGTACATTGCTCTTGCATAGTATCCGTACCGGTTATCTAAAAAGTTCATGACCTGTGTTATAGGACAGGCTTCAGTGTCCTACAGAGATCCAGTCCTGTTGGTGTCACTAGGTGGACTCCATACAGTCAAGGCAAGACACGATGGAGTAGCAGTCCCCATAAAGTGTTCAGGCAGTTGTCCTGTGTTCTGGAATTAGAGCCCTGAAGAACTTGTTTGTAAACCAGACAGTTAAGGTTGCCATTGAGGTAGAACTTGTGCCCCAAAAGGTACAAATACTAAACAACCTTCAGAGGTTCATTGAAGAGTTTATCTCTCTATGTGAGCCTCTTGCATATGAGTAAATCCATAGCAGCTCTTACTATAGTGCTGAAAAATTCACTGCCTGGCCAAAAAAAAGCCACTGCCTGGATTTAGCTAAACAAATAGGTCAGAGCATTCCACTAGATAAGTGTTATGATCTGGGGTTGTTTCAGTTGGTCCGGTCTAGGTTCAGCACAGTTATGTCCCCATAAAATGAGGTCAGCTGCTACCTGAATATACTGAATGACCAGGTTTTTCGATCAATGGGTTTTTTTTTTTCCTGATGGCTCGGACATATCCCAAGATGACAATGCCAGGATTTATTGGGCTCAAGTTGTGAAAGAGTGGTTCAGAGAGCATGAGACATCATTTTCACACATGGATTGGCCACCACAGAGTCCATACCTTAACACCATTGAGAATCTTTGTGTTCATCCCACAATTTCCCATCCGGCTCCTTCAATAGAAGGTGATTTTAAAAAATACTTCTGTTAAGAAGGATGGTGCCAGCAAGGGCCACCGATGGATTGAAATTTGGCCAAAGGAAAATGGGAAAACTTAGCAGGAAACAGATGAACTTTGATCCATGTATGGTCCGCTTTATTACTATCTGTGTCCGTATTGGTAAGATTTCCCCTAACTTCCTATCATGTTGCCAATCTGTGTGTTAAATTGAATGCCACTGGGAATAAAAACTGACAAAGGCTGTAACCCTAAAGGGCCCTTTCAAACCATAGCATTGCACTAATCGCATGATTCCATGTGATTAGTGAACACTATCACACCAGTTACCTAGTGAGCGTTACCCTGCACTAGGTGTATTGCATTGCAATTAATTTTATTGGCACCACATAGCACCTCCTGGCCGCCATGCACTGTAATGCAGCGCAATGCGAGGTACCACAATACCATGTGTTGGGTTGCATTGCATTAAAGAAAAGAAGTGCATTCAAATGAATGGCATTGCAATGCACCTAGCGCATAGTAAGGCACGCTAGGTGTGTTGGGGGATAGTGTGCATTAACCACATTAATCGAAATTGTGCGATAAATGCAACTCTATGGTGTGAATGGGCCCTACAGACTATACACAGAGAACTTTTATTAATGCAACATATCTCATTGTGTCCGTCCATGGTCTCAGTGTGTGTCTGTACCAATTCCAAAAAAACTATTATTAGGAGCCAGACAAGCCATTTCATTCCATGCATGGCACTGCAGTCCAATATCAGTAAGAATACAAGGATAAGACTGCACCAAGGTAGGAAAACTCTTCCCCTTCGTTTATGATATTAGTGGCTTTGCATAGCACATTTTATTTGTATTTGCCAGACCTTGGTGAATCATCATAAATTTTATGTCCTGCTGTCATGTCTGACTCACTCAGCACCCCTGTGAGCCCAGTACAAACTGTGGAAGGCTGTATTAAGTTAGCTTTTTCATTAAAATAAGTGTGGTCAAAGTTGTACAACCAGGAGGACTTCACAGAAACCCAAATATAGTTTTCAAAAGCTTAAAGCTAAGCTCCAGGCACACTAAAATTCCTTCAGATATATTGTTCCACAGCCACAAAGTAGGGATGCACCAATACCGATACTAGTATCAGTGCTGATTGTTGGAACTTCTTGCATAGCCTTACGGAGAAACACAAGCACACATATGCATGCTGCACATGGCATGAAAAAAGGAAGGAAGCCACAGCTTCCTTCCTTATTTAATACAACAGAGCATATATACCATAGATACTGTATAACAGAACTTATAAACACTGCTATCTAGGGACCGAAATTGTATACTGCAGGAGTTATTGCTATAAACACAGTAATGTGTATACTAACACCGATACTGAGTATTTGGGTAGGCACTCGTACTCGTCCAAATGCTCCCGATGCCTATCCCGATACTGGAACTTCTGGTATCAGGAAGCCTGGCAGTGAATCATTACACGCTGCCCGGCTTCCTGATTGGCCAGGAAGCCGGCTCCATGCTCCCTTGTCACCAGGCTATGTACAGCACAGTGATTATGTCACTACCACTTTTATAAGGTAATGTAATACCTAGATGTAATACCTAGATGTTTAATTGCATGTGGTGCATAAAAAGTGGATTTATATTCTTTGTGAATATTGAAGGATATATTTACAGGAAAGTGTTTGTGCGTGGAGTTAAAGGAAGCAAAGATTTTATTTGCTTTTTTTTTTTTTTTTTTATAGCTCCTGGGAGCTTTTAGCCATAATGTGCTAGTATGCACAGCATATTATGGCAAACTTACTAGCAAAAATGGTCCCCTCCAGCTCTGTGGTCCTCCCTCACTGGCATTTCCATCTTCTAACTGGTCCTCTTCCAGGATTCAAGTGTTCAGCCGCTTGATTGGCCGGGCCCTGATGATGTTACTCACATGCGCACGCTAGTTACTTAATCTCGGCATGCCAGGTCTGTGCGCTGAGCTGTGCATGTGTGGCTCACTGTACAGAAAAGTAAAAAACTGCTGACAGAAAGAATATTGTACAGCAGAATAGACCAACAAAGTCTCTTCTGCCATAGAAAGTCTGCAGATCGGCAGCTTTTTAGAAGCTTTACTTCCACTTTAAGATTTAAACAATGTTAAGGCCAAATTACATATATTTTTATATGGTAGATTTCTGTGACCGATACCCCACATTTTGCAATTTCCAAATGCTTGTTTGTAATTCTTATTTGCATGCTCAGTGTAGATCTTTTTCCGATCGAATACAATTGTTGATGCTAGAACTAAGAGGCTAATAATCTAATACTTCCACATGGCATGCTAGTGGTTATTTATTACTCAGCTGGACCTGACATCTCAGATTAAACTTTATACTCTTGCATCAGTTATTTGAAAGCACATTGACATTGGAGCGTCTCACTCCATCAAACACAAACAACACGACATACTCGTTTATCGCTGATTAGCAGTTGAGTTCACAAAAGAAAGTTCCATCAACAGGAGAAAAGTCATTGTGAATCTACTAAAGTTTATACTTTTTATTAAGCTGAGAACACGTCTCTGATAAGATAATATTCATTGATGACATACATCTGACAGCAGAGAAGCTGTTGTCCCATCTGGGGACAGGTATAATGTCCTCTGTGTTGAAGGGTACAGGTCAGACACCTGTGACCCGGTGCTGGAGGGAGTGACACTGGATGACAAATCGATAGGGGGGGAGGGAGGAAGTAAAATACTTTTCAAATGGGAACCCAGCTGCACATTTACAGAGACTAGGTAAAGGTTCACAGTGTCTCATCCCCTGAAAAGGGTTAATAGAGATGCAAGGGACAGTTAGAGGCATCTCCTACACTCTGTTGTGTGCAGCTCAGCGCTCAGCATCTGTCAGGATGTCCTCGCATGCAACCATACCTCCATCCCCATCCCTTCTGCAGCCTTTACAGGTGCCCCAACGTCTAATGTTGGGCCCTGGCCCCTCCAATGTACCTCCACGGATACTGGCAGCTGGGGCTCTCCATATAATTGGACATATGCACCCTGAAACTTTCCAGGTAAGTCATAACCTGCTAAATGTTTGTCCTAATTTAAAAACATATTGGGCAAATATCAATATATAATACTATATATTTATTTAATAATGTATGTAATTCATAGATTAAAAATAGATTAATGTTTATCTCTACTTATACTTTTTCTCTAAACGATATCAAGCATGTGTCACACGTGAAACATTATCATAGACAGGAGCGTCTCCAAGTTCCTAAAAGACCTTGGGCACCCACAATGTTGAAGGGTTTGTAGTGTACCATGATAAAAAGTGGGTGAAGTTGTTTCTCATTCCGAACATAGACATCAAACCTATAATATTGCTAAGGAAAGAAGAAATAATAATGAATAGCTTGATAAACAAATGATCCAAAAACACAATAT